TTCTGGCTTTTACATTGGTTCAACTATCTCCAAATCCATCTTTCAAATTCACATGACTATACCATTAATCTCCCTGAAGCACCTGCTTCATCATGTCACCCTCTTGATCAAAATCCTATAATTCCTTCCACTATATCAATTAGAACTTGTCCGCTTGCCTTAGGGAGGCTCCAAAGTCTGGCCCAAGCTGATTTTTCATGTCTTCCTTAAACCATGGCATTCCTCCCTCTCTGGTCTGTTCACAGGATGCTTGGGAACCACATTCCCCATTTCTTTTTTTTTTTTTTTTCACATTCCCCATTTCTTTTCACCCCATGCCTGGGCATCTTCCACTTCTGCCATCCTGCCATTCTCTCCACAAACACTACATACTACCTGACAAAGAGGAACTCGAAATCTATCAGATGAGACCAACCCATGGCAACTAATTGTATTTCAATCTGAAAAATCCCACAGTGCTATGTACCAACTATCATAAAGGCTCAGAGAAGAAAGGCGTGAACTTCATGGATCAGGAAAGGTTTAAGCCAGGAGGTAATATTCGACCTAGGTTTTGAAGGATGTAAAGAAGTTCTACAGGTATTTAAAAAAAAAAAAGAAGCATTCTAGGAAAAGGAAATAATATGTGCCAAATTCCATCTAGTTTACTTTTCTATTCTTAGGACTTCCATATTCATACTTTTTTTATGAACCTCACAATTTTAGTAGGATAGAGTATATCATTTATAAACACATTACATATCTCAGACTACAAACTTTTTGACAGACCAGTTCATATACTGTTTTGAATCCTTAAACCTTAGCACAGTGCTAAGCACTGGACATATAGTAAAGACCTCAAAGATATTGGCGGATCAATCTGGCAATCTATCAATATTCATCTGCTTCTTTATTTTTCACATGTCAGGAAAAGGGACACTAATATTTACTATCAACCTTTATGCCATGCTCTGATTTGGTTTCTTTTCTATTCTTTTTTGCCATGCTCTGTATTAAAGCTTACATGTGTTCCTTCATTTAGAGGGATTAAGCAGACAGTGGTGGGGGCGCGGGGGGGGGTGTTGAAAAATAAAGGTATTAGGAAAAGGGAGACTAGCAAAGATTTCAAAGTAGCAAACAGGAATGATTGAAAAGGATGGCTCTGGTGGGATCTGATCCCTCCCTTGGTACTGAGGAAGGAGGGAAAAAAGACATTTTGCTTCATAACCGTTCTTTTCATGCGCTTCCACTGGATGTACCATTCCATGTGGCAGTAATGGTGTTCTACTTTGATGGCACTGTACTGCCTCTTCTTATGAGGTCCCGTGGGGCGACCAGTAGTTTTCAAATCCAGTGAACTTCCCACCCTGGTTCTGCACGTCACTACATGTGACACATTAGGTTAAGTTCCTTAAACTCTTGATTTCCTTATCTGTGAAATGGATGCACAATAGCTACTTCATAGAATTACGTAAGATATTAGACTCATAAAACTTGGGATGTAGAAGCTCCCTCTTCTGTTTTCCCCCTCTCTCTACATACAACTCATTGGACCTGAAGAATTTGAAAATACTAGACATGGCCAATAATATAGATGTAATAAGGTACAATAATAATATATGCTTGGCAACATCCTATACCAAAATTTTCTTTCCTTAAATGTCAACTCTTTTGTCATAATGTTAGTTGTTCAACATATTCCTGGAAGATTAACATTGTGTATGGATATTTCAGACTGTGAACCTAAAAAATTACTCTAGATAAACTATCCTTCCTTTGTTGTGAAGAGCATCAATACAATTTCTGAAAGTCAGAGCTCCCTGGTTTCAATTCTTTTAGCCAAGTGACTAGACCATTTTTTACTCCAATGTTGAAAAAGAGGCATTTTGTATGGAAGGAAATTAATTATACTCTTTCTCAGTTTCAATAAGAAGCACATTTATTATATGTTCAATGAAACTGTATTCATTTTTTTTCCAACTGAGAAATATTTTAAAGTATTTCATTATATTTGGAGAAATTTTTCATCAATCAGATTTAGCAGCCACCAAAAAGAATTCCACGATTGATTAATCTTTTACAACATGGGTGTGACTTATAATCTCTACACTGTGAAAAATTATTAAATATAAGGGAAAACTATTCATAGACTTTCATATTTCTTGGCAAAGAAAAACTGCTTTGTGTTTTTAAAGATATGGTGGATAATTTAAATGAAACTTACATGCTTCAAATTAGTGCCAGATGCAACACAATTCAAGCACAAATCACTAGCTGCATCAGGTATTTCACTATGATTTAGTAAAAGGCATTCAACAATTCTGTTTCATAGAAATCTCAAAAATACAAATATTTCATTCACAAAATGCATGGCTTGGCAGGTCTCCAGGGCAGGAATTTGCTGGAGAGAAGGTAAATTTATTGATCCAAATAAATCAAATGACCAACATTTCCCTTAGAAAACTGGCAAAAAAAAATTCAGAAACTGAAAGTCTTACAACTCAAACCAGAAGAAAAATCTAAGCTATTATTTACCTTTATAATAGGAACCCAATCATCTCACAATCAGATCCTTGAGAAATCTCAAATTAACACTGAGGAACTTAATATTTAGATACATATATTTGACTTTCCAAAACCTTTGATATGAAATTTGGTGTTCATAAATCTTTGGAGTACTTATTCCACCTATGTCCATTGCATAATTATAAAAACTAAATAATGAGCACTTGTTAATGGAAAAGATCTAGAAGTAATCCAGATAATTCTTCCATCTGCCAACATTACTACATTCCCATCCAGGCCACAGTTTTTCTCCCTCTGCCCTTTCTATCCCGGTTCTGGTCACATCTCCCCATTGGCAATTGTTATGGGTTGGGTACCCTCAAAACTCTTATGTGGAAGTTTTAATTCACAATGTGGCTGTATTCGAAGATGGGACCCGGAAGTAATTAAGGTTAAATAAAGTCAATGAATGATCCCTGATCCTGTAGAATTAGTGTCCTTGTAAGTAGCAGGAAGAGACACCAGAGAGTTTCCCTGACCTGAGCTCATAAAGAGATCATATAAGCACAGAGATATGGCAGCTACCCACAAGCCAAAAAGAGAGGCTTCAGAATAAAATATTTTTTTTTTTCTGGTAAACCCTCCCAGCATCTAGTACCTGAGAAATAAATTTGTTATTTAAGTTACCCAGTCTGTAGTATTTTGTTATAGCGGCCCAAGCAGACTTGCAATTAAGAGGCTCAATGTGAACAGTTACAACAGCAGTTTTATATACATAATTTTTTAACTACTTAATATTTTAAAGAGTTTGGAATCAAAGAAGAACCCCATAGAGAAGATGGATACGTTTGTCCAGAAGAGTTTCATACAGATCATTAAGTTATTCAGCTTTGCTTGTACTCTAGAATCAGGGAATATGAGCATAACAATGGACCTTAGCCACAAAAACACACCAATACCCCATCTGACCTCCAAGATCTTCCAAAAGATAGACCAAGAAGTAGTTTCTATAACTCCCAGATCGTTCTAAAAGTAATAGGCTTAACTGTCTCTTTATGCTAACTTGAGATATATTACTGAGTGCAATGCAAAATTTTTATGCATCTTTAGAATGCTTTTTTTAAAAGGCATTATTGTTAACTAACAACAAATAGCTAAGACTAAAAATTACTCTGGGACAAGTAATGTGTTTTTTAATTTAAATTTGGACTAAAGTAGACTCCTTAATTTGAATAACTATATAGCTTCAACTGCAACATAACTTGAGTATAATTTTATATAAAGTCTCAGTGAATCACAACCTCTTGAGCTTCAATGTCTGCCAACCAATCAGACCATGTCCATTTATAAGGCAAATGCTCAGCTATAATCAATCAAGCTGTTTCTCTGCATCACCTCCACCTCCTTTTCTTCCTCCTTCTTAAAAAAAAAGAAAGAAAAGAAAAGAAAAAAGTCTATAATGACTACCCGTCCAGGGATGAAGCTCTCTTAACCTTTACTGGTTCAGGAGCTATTCCATTCATGAATCAATTATTTGCTCAAAGAAACTGCTAAATTTAATCTGTCTAAAGTTTTTCTTTTAACGGGTTGAAGGCTGTGTGTGTGTTTTATTATATAGCCATCACACAACACTAGAAAATAGGAAGGTATTCTTAATATTACCACAGAACACTATTTCGAAAAATAGAAGCATTTCTAGAAGCAGTCACATTGCCCTTTCTATTTTCGTCACAGTGCCTTTTTTCTCTTTTGCTTTTCCCTTGTTTCCTATGCTCCTCCGAGACCCTCTTCAGGGCCCTACACAGTGTTCTCCACCAAAAGGAGTTCCTAAACTTTTGGCCGCGGCGGCGCGGCGGGCGGGTGGCGCAGTTCGGCCCAGCCCCAGCTGGGGAGCGCCCCAAAGCAGGAGCTGGGCGGTTTTCCGCTAGCCATTGAGTGGCGTGGTGCCTGGAACACAGCACACACAGATCAAGAGGTGCAGAAAGCGAGGGGAAAGAAAAGGGAGGAAGGAAAGAGAGGGAAGGGGAAAGGATGGATGAAAGAAAACGTCCCAGAAGGCACGGAGCATCTGAGATCATTCTCTCTCCAGGAGCGAACTCAGTTTGGGGTCGAAGTCAGCACTTTCCTCACCCAGACCCATCGGCGTAAGGCAGGGAATGCGAGAGAACAAAGCCTTAAAGAACACTCGAGAGAAAGAAAAACGGTGAGAAAAAGGAGGGGGTGGGGAAGAGACGAGAGACGCCAATTGCCTCTTTCAGGCCAACGCACAGGGAAGCCAAGCGAAGCCGTTGCCATGGCGATCTTGGAGCCAGAACGGCCGCAGCCCATTGGCTGAGGCGCAGGAGCCAATGAGAAGGCGCGATGTTGACGGGGTCTTAAGATGGACGCCGGGCAGCCGCTTCCTGACCGGTGAGTAGGGCTCATCGCTGGGCTGGTTCCTGGCTGGCTCGGGCTCTGCGGCGACGGGTCCGAGAGGGCCGCGGGAGGGCAGCGGAGGAGCCAGGCTCTGCGGCCCGACGGTTCCTTGCCCGGGGCACCTGAAACAGGCCCACGGGAGCCCTGGCGGGGTCATTGCGGCGCCTTCCTCAGCCTGTTAGTGCGTTTCTCGGTCCCAGCCGGGCCAAAGTGAGAAGGGGTGAGGGGGCTTTCGGAGGAGGAGGCAGGCTCCTATTTACACTGCAGTGTCCCGGAAAACAGCGCCAGGTAGTGCGAACGCCGGCAGGCTGGACTTGGGCCCCGGAGCCCGCGGCGGTCAGTTCCATGCCCGGACGGGGTTCTGCGGGCTTGGGGACCTGGCCGTGACACCGCCGTCCGTGAGCCCGCGGAGCTCCGTGCTGTCTCCAACCCTGTAAGTATTTTCGCCCGCGTCGCCTTAAAATGAGCCTCAATGTGACTGGTTCATTGATAATCTTTCCGTGCAAGGTCAAAGGTCTGGGGAAGTGTTTTCCAGGTCCCGACTAAACTCACACCCTCGTTAATTAACACACGCATACATGCAAAACCCTGTTAAGTAAATAGTTTATCTGGATAAGCGGATTGGCAACTTTAATCTGAACTCAGGCCTATGATTCAGTTGCACTTTCTGTAACTTTTTGAGAAAAGGGAACACATTTATTTTAGAAAAGTTTAAAATACTTGTACATTGAAGTCAATATTACCTGCGTACAAATATTTTAATTAGGCAACTAATTTTAAAACACAGTAACTGATTATTATGTAGTTTTTTAACAAGATCTTTCGGATTAGTGGATGATGGTTCATGGCTATTTCACAAGTATGATTAAATTTAGGAAGGATTTAGATTTCTGTGATTATTTCCAATTGAATACAAAATATAGAACATAAGAGCTTTATTTGGTGAGAATGGAATTTAAATTCAGGATTATTAGACAGTAAACATTCGTTGAGCTGCTCAGCAGTTATGTCTTTTGGGTTTTGATTTTTAAGCAGCTGCCTGGTCTTTCAAGAAATATTAATTTGAATAATATTATTAACTTTTATATTAATTTTAATGATATATTTGAATTATTCTAATCTCTGACTTTCACTTATGTGGTTTAGTATAACATTTTATGTAGCTTTTTGTGTTTAAAAACTATAGAAAAATAATTCTTCCTAACCAAATTTTAGCAAGTCTGTATATACAATCATTCTTCACACCTACTCTCAAATCTTTGCCTCTGAGAATATTTTACACCATTCAACTCTGCTCTCTGAAAGTTTATAATTTAAGAGTTCATCATTTTGTAAAATAAGTGGATCTCAATGCATGAGGGAAGTCAGTTTCCTCATCTGTAAAAAGGGCCTGGGTAGTAATTCCTCCTGGAAGAGTTGTGAAGATTAATGGTAAACCAGTACCTGCCACATTGCTTGTATGCCTCTTTCTTTCTGTTCTGTTTTCTGTTTTAACTGGGGTTTCCTTTATTAGCAACCTGAGGTGCAAAGTCTCTCTGAAAGCTTGTAATCTTGGTGGCCAGTTGGCAGATAGAAATCTTATCTACTTGGTTTTAATCAGGATTGGATATGACTGGTTGAGAATGGAGTATTATACCAAGGAGTGAGGAGTGAGTGAGGTGGGCTCTGGGCATTTGTGCCACTTATAATATTAAGATCAGAGGGAAACATTTTAGAGCTGCAAGACATCTCAAAGATCATCTGACCAAACTTCATTTTAAGACTTAAAAATGGGGACCCAGACAAATACAGTGGCCTGCTCAGGACTAGAAATAATTTTCTGACTTTTAAGACATTGTTTTTGCCCCTATAACCAGTAGTTCTCAATCTTTGCACAGTCTAGAACTTCTTCTTACTATGTTTTGATATCTCTGTGAGTTCTCTATTTCGAAAGATTATGTATATTAAACTATACCCATTCATTGTTTTTCTAATAAAATTCAGCTCAATAGCTATCAGTCAGCATTTCTGGTGAACATGGACTTTGTGATTCCTTACCTAAAGGTGACTGATATCTTGGGTTTTTTAAAATATTGAAAATAACTTAGTGACCCCTTTTACTGTCATGATAAAACTCAGATAAAAAAACATAGAATGGGAACCACTAAATTCTGCCTGTTCTTGATACATTGTTTTCTGCCCAAGTGTAGTAAATAATATATATGGTTGGTTCTCAAGGGCAAAAGAAAACTCAGCTACTCAAACTAGAGCAATACAGAAATATTATCAGTTCATAGTAAATTGTGTCAGCAAGAATGAGATGTATTTGGCATAGTATACACAGAATGTTTTGTATAATAATTGTAGATGGCATAAATCTTAACTCCAGATGTATGAAATGTTGAAGATGATATTCAAACCCATTGAGAAAAAGGAGATTCTGATTCTGTTACAGTTTCCTTGGGACCAAAATGATTAAATTTAAAATTATATGGGTTTTGGGCTGAAAACTAAAAGCTTATTAATGAATGCATTGGCTATTAGATGGACCTGGCTACAATGTACATGAAAAAAAAAATTAAATTTCTACTTCTCTGGTACTCCACATCTCTTGAGAATGGCCAAGTGAATTTTCTCAGTTAAAGGGAAATTTGGAATGGTCTGCCTTAAAATAAAGAAATATACTTTGAAAGGCATGGGTAAGAGATACTTTAGTGAAGAGAGAGTCATCCTCCAGAACAGCCACAATGGGAATAATAGGAGGCCAGACATGGTGCCAGTTAGAAAATGCATGACTGACATTTGTGTTATGAATAGAAGATGGTGTTTTCAAATATGAGCCCACAGCAGAAGTTACTGAGCAGCCACTTCATATTGGCTGATTTACAGTTAGTTGAGCTGCATCTCACAGAAGCAATTCCCTATTACAGGCTTCATAGTGAGGGGCAGCAGTTTTCTGTGTTTATCAGAACATACTTGCTTTTTTTTTAATTTTAAAGTCACAGGAAAAGGGCATGCGATGTTAAAGAGTTTAAAGAACTATCTTAAAAACATACCTTTTTTGAATTTTGCCTTATTTTATGGATTTGCACTTTTTAAAAAATATTCTTTAGTTGTCAATGGGTCTTTATTTCATTTATTTATATGTGGTGCTGAGAATCGAACCCAGTGCCTCACACACGCTAGGCAAGCGCTCTACCACTGAGCCAGACCTCAGCCCCAGATTTGCATTTTTTTAAAATTGATTTTCTTTAGGTACACTCAGATTATGTTAGGCAAATATCTAACATAATAAATAACTGTGAAGACAGTTCTTAATGCCATATCAGAAGGACCTAGAGTCATAAAAAATGGATAGCTGTTTGAAAATCTGTTGAGGAAAAGCATGTACGCTCCTACTTACCTGCTACAACAGAGGTTTAGTGGGAGACCTTGCCACTGTTTCTTGGGGAGGCACATACCATTTAAGGTGCCAAGCTGAGTGTCACTTGGCTTCTGATCAATAGAAACTTGCCATTTATATAGATATGTTGCTCCATGAGTTTAGGATTCTTGGCTTGTTTTGAATACTTATGTTTTCAAGGTCTGGAGGAGTACCTGGCAGAAGATGAGTATGCAAAAGATTCTGTGGACTAGAAAAGAAACAGTGCTTTCTAACATAAGCTGTTAAGAAATCTAAATCTGAAATCTGTTACTCTTCTTAAATGGATAGCGAACCTACAGGTTTATTTTATGCCAGGGACAAAAAAGTTTGCTGGAGTTTATTATTGCTTTCCTCCCCTTGCTCCTCAGAGTAGTAGAAATATTTTTATTAATAATATAACAGCTGTTTTCCAATATTGTCATATTTTTGGATGATATCCTTTGTGCTATTAAAGTATTTCAAGAGTACTCAATCCCAGCCTTTAACATCTATAGGCCCTATTAATAGATGGATACAGGTCTTATGGGCCTGCTAAAACAACAACAATAACAACAACAACAAAGAATGTAAATTCTGAATAGAAAATTTAAATTCAATGCTTTGGAAAGACGTATGCAAATGAGGAGCCTTGAAACTTAAGCTCTGTTGTCTTCCTGATAATTTGCCTCTTATTGCTCCATTCAAAAAAACCAAATGCCATATTTTTTAATTTAAAACTTTCCAATACTGTGTAAATCAGAAATAAACAATTTGCATTCATTGCTAAGTGAATATACCACAAATATTAGAAACTTCAAAACTATCTTCTGAATCCTTCCATTTATAGAAATGATAAAAATGTAATACATAGCCGCAGAAATAATAATAGCAAAAGGAACTTACTATTTATTAAGCCCCAGAACCTCCTAAATACTATGTTGAGTGGCTTATCTCATTTAATCCTCAGAATAACTTATAAGCAGTATAATTATCCTTGTGTTACAGATAAAGAAACTCATGGTCAGAGATTGTAAATGATTTGCTTGTACCACTAGTGAGTGGTAGAATTAGGAGTCTAGTTGGAGCAGTTAGGTAATAGAGTCCTTCCTCTTAAAAAAACAAGAGTATTTTAGTGAAGATGTTTCAGAAAACCAGAAACTGATGAGTCTGTACTAACCCCCCCCCCCCACACCCACACACAAATAAGATCTGATTCTTTGGGTCCAAGAGGAGATGCTTTAAAGAAAATTATTGAGATTAATGCCAAATCCCCTGATGTCTTTTTTATTATCTTGCTAGGTTAATGACAATTGACAGAAAACTCAGCAAAACAGATTTCTGCCCTTCTATTTATTTCTTTTGAGTTATAGTAAATTATGAACAGTATAATCAGCTTCTCTATTTTAGACTTAATTTTGAGTGTACCGGTTTTGGCTCAGAACATACGTAAAAATAGTCTGTCATGAAAATGAATGATGAAAATGTACTCAATTATCATGATTTTAGCAAATGATTACAATTCTGATTTTTTTAAGAAATGATGTTTATTAAACTTAGATAATGATTCTCTCTACCAATGGCGTATGTTCTCTCTACGAGTGATTCTCTCTACCAATTAGTAGACAACTAATGCTAAATATTATCCTGAACTTTAACTTTAGTTTTCCAAATATAGTATTGTTACTCAAAAAAGCTGTTATGTTTTGTTAAGCTGTTAGAATTATATTTCATTTATTGTCAGTTTAGCAAGTGCTTTAAAATGGAAAACTATGGTATCCTTTTTCTATTATACCTTCTTCAAACTGCTTAATCATATTAAATTATCCTTTAAATTATTCTTTCCCTGCTCCTTAATCAGTAATTCCCCTAAAAGTTTTATGCATTCAAACATGGGTGAAACTTCCATCTTTCTTTTACTATAGTTGATCTATATAGTTTGGTATATAATACTTGAATTCTTAAATTTCTCGTAGAATATATGTCATTGGACTTTTCACATTCTTGAGCAATTATTTCTTTCCTGAATTTCATTTTTCAAGATAAAATTATCTATATATTAGCAAATCGAGGTCTTATTTCCTTTAAATGTATGCTGTAACAAACTAGTTTCAACTACTTTTAAAACTTTTCTTTTAACTTACCCAAGTGAAGGTTTTAGTTATTTTAATATGGAAGGTGCATTACATTTTAGATTTTAAAAAAGTTTAGGCCGACTGTTCTCCGACCATTGGTAGACTTCTTGGCTTCAGGAGTGTCTTTTAAAATGATTTTATAATTGTTTCCATGGCTACTTTTTATTTCTAAATTTATTTTTTTTGTTCTAGAAGAAAAGATGTGGAGTGGACTGCTGCCTCCTGGCCTAAATGAAAGTGATGTTGAGTCAAATTCTGAAGATGAAGCCACACTGGAGAAGTCTGAACTCGACTTACAGGAAAATAAAGAGGATGGGACTAATAGAGACACAGAAATCTCAAGTTTCCCAGCAGATGGACCAAAAACAGAAACAGAGGCCAATATAGATGCATATGAAGAATGCCCTTCTGGAATTCCCTTAAATTTGTGGAATGTAGGTGTTTTCCTAATGTGCTCACCTGAAAGCCTGTGTGTGCATGAGTGTGTTCAGTGTCTCTGCCTGGTCAGTGTGAATGTTGTGATGAAGCAGACAGGGAAGGTGGGCTCTGAGTGCTTTTACTGTCCTTTGAGTAATCAGCCATTTAGGTGCTTTTCATTTTTACTTTGTTTTTCATAAAAAGAGGAAGGAATTAACTATTTTGCCTGATGTGGTATATGAGGAGTTTCTAACTTCATTTTAATCTCTTTATCTATGAGTTATCAAGCTTTTCAGTCTCAATTATTCAACAGTTTTTATCAAAACAAATGAACTTCAAAACTCAGGTTGTATCTTCAGGGAGTACAGTATCTCAAGAGCTCTGTTTTCATTGAGTTGGCATCTTTATAAATGCCAGAATATAAATATTTTTATTACTTAACACATTTAGATTTTTAAATGCATGTTTTTCTTCAAAATATATTTGTTTCTTAATATCTTTTTTTTTCTTATTTTCACTTTCATATAGAAATTTCAAGAATTGCATAAAAAACATTCTGAACAGAAAATCTCAACCTCAAGATTCAGAGGGAAAAAGAGAAAACGCTCCAGAAAAGGTTTTTTTGTTTTGTTTTTTGATTTATGTTCACATTGTCCATAGTGTCAGTGCTAAATTGTGACTAATTAAATAATTTTTTGAAAACATGATTTTGAAATAATACCAAATACTTAAGTATTAATGCTTTGTAAATTCTTTTCAGATAAATTGAAGAATGAAAAAGAATCTCATAGGTAAGTAGGATTTAAAATAATTATTCTAGGCAGTATTTGTAGAACTTGTCCAAATAGCTCAACTACTAATCTGTGATCTTGATGAAACATAAAATCTAGTAATTGTAGTAACCAATTAAAAAATAGAAAAAATAAAAATGATTAAAAGGACTTTTTGTCTTTTTGTAGTGAACAGCCTTTAAATGAAACCCAATGGAAGGAGCTTACTCAGTACTTTGGAGCCAATGATAGATTTGAACCCCCTGTTAAAAAGAAAAAAGTTGAAAAGGTAAGATCTTTTATTATCTTATGTTAGCTACCAGGATATATTTTTTATTAATCTGTCTAAGGTACTTGTCCATTAGTTCATCCAGTTAAAAAGTGAATGTGCCAGATGAATGGACAAAGAAAATGTGGTATATATACACAATGGAATATTACTCAGCATTGAAAGAGAATAAAATAATGGCATTTTCAGGTAAATGGATGGAGTTGGAGAACATAATGCTAAGTGAAGTAAGCCAATCCCCCCCAAAAAACAAATATCCAATGTTTTCTTTGATATAAGGATGATGATTCATAATGGGGATTGCAGGGGTAGCATGGGAGGAATAGACGAACTTTAGATAGGGCAGGGTGGGGAAGGGAGGGTGAATGGGGATGGGAAAGATGGTGGAATAAGATAGACATAATTACCCTAAGTACATGTATGAAGACACAAATGGTGTGACTTTACTTTGTGTACAACCAGAGACATGAAAAGTTGTGCTCTATATGTACAATATGAATTGAATTACATTCTGCTGTCATAATATAACAGATTAGAATAAATTTTAAAAATGTGTACCTATTTTGTACCAAAAAGACATACATAAACAAGTAGATATAATTATAAAATCATTTTTTAATAAGTGTTAAGAAGGAAAAGAACAGACTATAGTAACAAATATTAAAACAGAGGCCTCACTTTAGCTTTAGAGGTGAGGGAAAGTCCTTTTTTGTGTATTTTTTTGAGGGGAGCGATACCAGGGATTGAACTCAGGGGCACTCCACTACTGAGCCACATCCCCGGCCCTATTTTTCGTATTTTATTTAGAGACAGGGTCTCACTGAGTTGCTTACTGCCTCACTTTCTGATGAGACTGGCTTTGAACTCAAGGTCCTCCTGCCTCAGCCTCCCAAGCCACTGGGATTATAATCATGCTCCACTGTGCCTGATGGAAAAGCCTTTCTTAGAAGATGCCATTTCAGCAAGACCTGAAGAGTTTGAAAAGATCAAAGAGTGATCATGCAGAGGCAATAATGTGGGTAAAGATCTAGGGAAGGGTCATCAGAGACTGTTAAGTAACTGTAAGAACACCAGCCTGGCTGAAGTGTCATCAGCATGGAGAACAGTGGCCTAAGATAAGATTATAGAGACTGATGGACAGGGATCAAACTGGGTAGGACCTCAGAGAGCATGTCATGAAATGGGTTTTATTTACAGTGCAGTTGAGCCTCCTTAAAGGGTTTTAAGTCAAAAGTGTGATGTGATCTAATTTTAGTTTAAAAAGATTGCCCCAACTCTTATTGGAGAATCAATTATGAGGCAACAAAAGTAGACGAGAACAGAATAGTTCAGAAATTTCTAGGCATGAGGTGATGGTGAATTGAACAAGAATGGTGCTGCTGAGGATGGAGAAAAGTGGGTGGGTATAGTATCTGAGGCATAGTATAGAAGTAGAATTGACAGTGTTTGCCTCTGCATTTCTCATAAGGTGCTGAAGAATAAGGAGGAAGAGGAAACCATTCAAGGTTTTGCCTTATGCAGCGGTGTGCACAATAATGCTAGTTATGAAGACGAGAAAGTTTGGAGGGGAAAAGATTTATAGTGGAGCCTATTCAGAATTCAGTTTGGAGCATGGATATTAACTGGGAAACAGGAATAGAGTAGGTGACTAAAAAAATGAGATAGAAGGCTTGGAGAAGAGCCTGAGATTGAAGTACACATTTTGAGTTGTCAGTCTATAGAACTTAGTAAAGGCTTGAATGAAAGTAACTCGCATATTCACCTAGGGGGATGTTGGCAGGCTCTAGGAATATGAAAATCAAGTACTGAATGATAGGGAGCTAGTAGTTGAAGCCCAAGTGCAATGTCTCCTGTATATAGTGTAGATAGATGCCTCTTACATGAATCATTGCTGTGTAGGCTACTGTGTGTACTTGGAAACCTTTGCCATTTTGATCAGTTGGTATTTCTTGTGAAAAATCCTCTGGTTTAAATCCATCATTGGGTGGTTTAGTGTCATTGAGAGCACATATATGAAGCAATTGTCAGAACAGAATTTTACATGTGAATTTTTTATTTCAACTTTGTAAAGAATTTTTTATTATCCAAAAATAGTCCCTAGAACACTGGGTAATTGAAACTAAGATTACTTTTTGTTACTGAGCAGTCTTCTTTAACCATGATGCAAAAATGCTAAAATTTCTGGCAAAGAAAGATCACTAGTAGTTTTAAAAGTAAAACTCAGGTTTCATGACCCATTCTTAGTTCCCTGGGTTCACTCTAGAACTGATGGTGACTGTTTGCCAGTGTCATTGCCATGCCTCTGACCCTTGAAATTCTGGAGGACTTGGAGAAGGGGCTATGTAAAGAGGGATGCTCTTGATTGTACCAGATCTATTTTAAAGTGTAAGGGAGGAGAATGGTACTGAGCACTTTGGTCTAAATGCCATCTCTGGCAGATTTGGAGTCCCAGCTGATGATTGGATTGTTCATTAAGAAATAAATGGTTAAATATTGGTTCTACCAGGCATTTTTTTTGAAGTTTTACTGATGAATGATGTGATTTGCAATTGAAAGTGTTTGTTATGTTTCCTTACAATTATTGATTAGGTTATCTAAATTGTTTTAGTGGCATTAAAGCCACAAAATGAACTTTTTAGGCATTCTTAAAAAATAGAAATTTAGAGATATTTTCTAGAATTTATCTTAGAAATTACATATGAGATTGTACTATCTTAATCCTGGTTAGGTATACTAGCTCTTATTCATCGTCTAGAATTTGTAATTTATGTGAAGTTACTTTAGTATAGGATTCTAAAATTCTTTGTACAAAAATCTTTTAAATAATTCAGTTTCAGGGACTGGTGTTCTATTTCACATTATGCATTAGCTATGTTCTAGAAGAAAATTATAAGTCAAACACCATTTTAAAAATGAGATCTTCTGTTTAAGGGAAATTGCTGTAAATCCTGTTGTAATTACCCGTTGATCTATTTTATAAATCTGGGTTTTCTTAATGCAGACATTCCTCTGTGTGGCAGCTGGCTAAGAAAGTTATGACAGTTTTCTAAACAAGGAAACTGATGCTGGCTAGGATTTTGCCAGCACTTCATATTCTACAAATAAATGCAAACATAAAAGGGAAGGAAGGATTTAGTGAAGCCAAATTATTTCATGTTCTCTTGGGAGTTTCAGTGTAATTGCATGCCAGTAAGTCCATGCTCGTTCTTTGATTTGGGATTGTGGTTTTATGTGTCACCCCCTTTGCTGTGGTGCTGAAGTCTCTGCTGTGAATCCAACAGAGTAAATAAACTTTAGAGAATGTCCACATTGGAAGCACCAAGATAAAAGCTATGAGTAAATGTAAGTTCAGGAGATAGTAGCTGCTGCTCATGAAATCTCTTGAGGATCATGAAAACCTGATGTAGCATGGATGGACCAGCATGGATTTTCAGTCCATTATTTTATTTCTCTGGAGCAGAGGCTGATCTGTCACCGTATCTCAGAGAGTCTTTTAATTTTATATTCACTCAGCCCTCAGTAACGGTAAAGCAAAACAAATTTCTTAATCTTGCATCTATCCCACAGTGTTTTGGTTTTGGAATATTGCCAAGCTGATACTGTTGCTCAGCCTAGAATGTGTGTCTACAGCACTGCTGTCACCTGCTTGCCGGACAATACAAGGAGGCTTGCATTTTTTAAATGCAATCTTCCTAATATCCAAAGCTGTTTCAAAATATTCTTTGTATTAAACACAGCTATAATTGTGTTTCAGACTTGCTAATAATTATGTAATTGTAACATAATTATTTTCAATCTATGTGGGAATTTCTATAGAATAATTTCACTCATGAATTTCATTAAAAATGTCTCAAGTATTCTAGTTGAATCAATTTGATCAGCCAGCAGTCATTATTGAAGTAGTTTTCTATGTGTCTATGGATACTCTTTTAATAATTTTTATAGTAATTGTACAGTGTCTGATGGTTTTTTAAAGGAGTTCGTGAGAGGAAACTGCTATTGTGTAGTAGAGCTTTTTCACACTTTTCCATCCCAGCTCTTATGTGGAACTGCAGTGCATAGATCATATAAAAGCTTGGGTTGCCTCTATTGGGCAGGAGGGAGCAGGAAGGGTGTGGGAGTGTTGTGGTGGTACCAGGAAGCTCCCCTGGTATCAATTACAAAGCATTCTCTCTTGATCCCTGTGTGATCCCTGTGGGGTAGGTAGGCAGGGCCAGTGTTATTCTCCTAATATAGATGAAGAAACTGAAGCACAATATAATTTGCCTACAAAATAAACAAAGCAGAAACTTCTTAGTGAAATGAGTTTAAAACCAAGTCATTTGGTCCCAAATCTAGATTTTTCTGAAATAACAGCTGAATTTAGTTTTTGCTTTTCTTGATTCAACTGATTTAAGTGAATATAATTTAGATATAAAGACAATAAAATCATAAGTATCATTTGTAATTATATGATATATGTTTATATATAAAGGTTGTTCCCCCCCTTGTTTATGGAGAAATTACCTCATTGTTTCTAGATATTTGAGTCCAGTCATAATAAAGCATGAAATTCATTTGTTATCATGCTTCAGAAATTAAATGTAGTATCAAAATAAATATCTAGTAAAAAAAAATTCATAGAAATATATTGCGATACAGTTTGACTTAACAACCTTTAATCATACAATAAAAGATATTCTGCAAATGCATATTTGGGCATTTTGGTACCCATAAATTTCTTGTGTGCGTAGCCATACCTTCTTGGCATCTGCAGCAAAACTTTATTAATTAGAGGTTGGTTATTGCCTCATGGGAACCTGTTAGGTATTGCCCTTAGATGAATTTTCCATCTGTGGCCAAATTGCCATTCCTAAGTTGATCTGTCTGTGTTGATATATATCTTGATCTGAATTTTCATTCTTGCCAAAAGGCAAGGTTAGAAACCCACCAAGCATCACCATTACCAGCAGTGCTCTACTTCTTGTCTGATCTCTGGTGTGGAAGATGCCCTGAACAAGTTAAATAATATAGGTTCCTCTTAGGTCCAGTTTAAGACTTTTTTAAAAAGCTTTAATGCTGAAATCTTATTTCATGGGACTATTTACTGACTCAAAATTGAATTCTTGGGTCTCTGATTGGATGTGAGTGCTTGAAGAACTATGACTAGGTCTATGGTCATAGAAAGAAAAGCCCTCTCTTTGCATTGTGGTATCTGGATATTTAGATATAGGAGCAACTTAATGAATGAATAGTGATCATTTATATTCTGAAAATGTCGCTAGATTTTTTGGGGGGTGGTTACTGGGGATTAAACTCAGGGGCACTCCACCACTGAGCTACATCCCCAGCTTGTTTTCTCTTTTATTTAGAGACAGGGTCTCTAAATAAAATTGAGTTGCTTAGTGCCTCGATTTTGCTGAGGCTGGCTTTGGACTCACAGTCCTCCTGTCTTAACCTCCCGAGCCAAAGAGATTTCAGGCGTGGCTAGATATTTTACATGTATCTTCTTTGATTCTGACCATAACTTTTCAGAGAGAGTGGTTTTATTATAGCTCACACAGGTTAGAAACTCACCCAGGATTGCTCAGTTCATAGGTGGAGGAGCTGATATCTGAGCCCAGGTCTCACCTCCTGACCTGTGCTCTTTGTAAACTACTGTGAACTTAGAGTCTTAAGAAGATATTTTACAGGTGAATGTATTTTTTATTAATATAAACATTTTGAATGTATTTGGAATGTTGCTGTATTATTACACAAACAGAAAACTTGGGCGTCCACGTGGAACTAGAAATTTTTTAAGGAGTAATTATATTTTGCTTTAATAAATTAATCAGACAAAAGGAAAGGAAGAAACAGTTTTATCTAGCAAAACTTGGTTGAAATTAATAAAAATCAAAAACAAAAACTTAAAGGAACTAAAAGGAACAAGCAAGGCAGGTTTAAGAATGGATTCCTAACCAGGTTGCTGAGGTGAAAGATTGGAGCTAACCTGGGTTTGTTGATTGATTGGGTGAATTCTGAGTTGAGGTGTCAGATTACCTAGAATTTGTGATGTAAGGATGATTGAATTTGATATTGATGTTTTGTTTCATCTATCTAAGTGGCATTTGAGGAGATAATTAATATTCTGCCAGGAAGGAGAAGCTGTCAACATTTTTAAAATGACTTTATTTCCATTCTAAGTTAAATAATAAATATGAAGTTCTAGATGCAGGTAAACTAAACTCCTGGAGCCCAAGATGGGCATATTTCACATGTCCTCAGGGAATATATATTTTAATAGCTAGATAGATTTTTGTATAAACAAATGTTATAACATGTGACCCCCCCACGCCTTATTTTAATCATAGGGGCATTATTACTTGAGTATTACTATTGCAAAATTCTCTTGGGGCCGTCTCAAAGCAGTGGCCATCTCAAAGCATGTCCCCAGCATGGGTGGGTCCTGCAGTATGGATGCAAAGTTTTGATTACTTCACTGTGAATATTCTGTCAGTGAATGAGTGCCTCTTACATGGGAGGAACTGGCTGGATTTGGGGAAACACCAAGCCAGTGACACACAGAGTTTGTCCTTACTGAGCATAGAGCCCAAGAAAGGAAGACAGCATGTGAGATGAGTACGTGCTGAAGGGAGGAGGTGCATCCGCAGCAGAGTGATGAGCCGGCTGGCGGGGTACAGGGACAGGATTGAAGACTCAGAAGTTATGTAGGGCCATAGAAAAGGTAACATTTGATGTAAGCTTGAAAGAATGTTCAAAGGGAAGCACATCAGAGGCATGAGAACATTGATCAAATGGTAAATGTGGCCATAGATTAGGAAGCATAGCATTACCAAAGATGGGCTGAGAAAACTTAAGTCATCCAGACAAAGTTGTGTTAGTCGTGAAGTTCATTTGCATTCTGACACAAGTTCCTTAGCTTTGCTTGGAGTGAAACAGTTCGTGGATTGACACTATTCACAGACCACAAGTGGACCACAATGTAGACCACAGTTGGAGTGGCACTGCCCTCTGCTTCTGAGGTGAGCAGGGTTAGAGCTTCCTGAAAAAGAAGGATTCTGAAAAAGTGAGTCCAGGGTGTCTGGGTCATGGAAGAGTTCTGCAGAAATACCAGAAGGGAAATATTTGGAGATTAGAAAGAGTGGGAAGAGGGCATGAGAGCCATGTGGCCTTTTTAGGGTCAAAGATTATGAAGGGCCATTGATGAAGGTCTCTAACTCCTGTTTGGAGCAAGTGAGAAAGCCTGTTGGCTCCCAGTCCTTTGGAAGGGTTTGTGAGAAAGGACAGGCTTCACTCTGTGATAGACATTGGTGATGACCTCACTGGGCTGTTTCTCCAGACTTTTTAAACAGATTATGTTGTTTTTTAAGTCTCATTTCAACAAGGCTGCATAGGAACAAATTTTCTCTCGGTTGACTGGAATAATCGAGCAGTATACTGATGGAAGAGATGTTCTTAGGACTTCTGTTGTTACATAAAGAGGGAGAAGTCTATATGGTAATATTAACTGAATATGTGCTTGTTTAAGGATACAGTAGGGAAATCATCGTTAGAATAAGATTTTCTTACAAGAAGCATATGTTAGACCATTTGGGGGGTACTAATTAGTTCTACACATGACAGTAGAACACATTTTGATACATCATATGTAAATGGAGTCTAACTTCTTATTTCTGGTTGTACATGATATAGAGTTACACAGGTCATGTAATCATATATGCACATTTTTAAGGAGTAATTATATTTTATATATTAATAATGTCTGATTCATTCTACTATCATTCTTATCCCATATCCCCTCCCCTTCTTTCACTCCCCTCTGTCTAATCCAAAGTATGTCTATTCTCCCCTATACCCCCAACCCCTTAATGTGAATTAGCAATGACATATCAAAGAAAACATTGGACCTTTGGTTCTTTGAGATTGGCTTATTTCGCTTAGCATGAAATTCTCCAGTTCCATACATTTACTGGTAAATGCCATAATTTCGTTCTTATGTAAGGCTGAGTAATATTCTAGTGTGTGTTTGTGTGTGTGTGTGTGTGTGTGTGTGTGTGTGTGTATCATAATTTCTTTATCCATTCATCTGTTGAAGGGCACCTAGGTTGGTTCCATAGTTTAGCTATTGTGAATTGAGCTGCTATAAACATGGATGTGGCTGTGTCACTGTAGTATGTTGACTTTAAGTCCTTTGAGTATATACCAAGGATTGGGGTAGCTGGGTCAAATGATAGCTTGGTCCATTCCAAGTTTTCTGAGGAATCTTTATACTGCTTTCCAGAGTGGTTACACCAACTTGTAGTCCCACCAGCTATGTATGAGTGTACCTTTCCCCCCACATTCTCACCAACATTTATTTTTGCTTGTATTCTTGACAGTTGCCATTCTGACTGGAGTGAGATGGAATGTCACTCTCCAGATGGATTTGCATTTCTCTAATTGCTAGAGATGTTGAACATTTTTTTCATGTATTTGATGATCAATTGTATTTCTTCTTCTGTGAAATACAACTTAGTTCCTTACCCGTTTATTGATTGGGTTATTTGTTTTTTTGATGTTGGTTTTTGAGTTCTTTATATGTCCTGGAGATTAATGCTCTATCTGAGGAGTGTGTGGTAAAGATTTTCTCCTATTCTGTAGGCTCTCTCTTCACGCTACTAATTGTTTCCTTTGCAGTGAGGAAGCTTTTTAGTTTGATTCCATTCCATTTATTGATTCTTGATGTTACTTTTTGCACTTTAGAAGTCAGTTCCTAAGCCAACGTGGTGCATATTTGGGCCTACTTTTTCTTCTATTAGGTGCAAGGTCTCTGTTCTAATGCGTAAGTCCTTGATCCATTTTAAGTTGATTCCTGTGCAGGGTGAAAGAGAGGGGTTTGATTTCATTTTGCTACATATGGGTTTTCAGTTTCCCCAGCACCACTTGTTGAAGAGGCTAACTTTTCTCCAATGTATGATTTTGGCACCTTTGTCTAGTATGAGATATTGTATTTATGTGGGTGTTTGACGCTGTGTCTTCTGTTCTGTACCATTGGTCTACATATCTGTTTTCGTGCCAGTTCCACACTATTTTTATTACTGTGGCTCTGTAGTATAATTTAAGGTGTTAGACCATTTCTTTTAAAAAAATTATTTTTTTTAGTAATTATTTTCACAACTCAGAACTCATTTTTGTCAAGACATCTTTCCATAAATGTATGCTGAGTCCTACCTAGTCAGGTAATCCCATGAAAATTATAATTACAAATTTTTGTAGCATCTTTAGTAAATTAAGACATTGCCATAAGCAAATAAAATGTGATTAACTCCCATATTTAATATTCAACTTAAATCTTCTTTGTCAAATATGATGAAGGGCTGTTGAGTGAAAATCTTGAGCTAGAAGTGTAGGCTTTGCAGGGTCTGAATAAACCTTTTATTCATATAACTTAAGTTTGGCTAAATTAAGGAGTCCGGAGCTCTGTTTCTTCATCTTTAAAAAAGGGTAGCATTATTCGATGGAGTTGTTACAAAGTTTAATGAGCTTTCTTCCCAGTACTAAACCCAGAGTCTACCACATAATAAGCTCTTCATAATTTTTAACTGTTATTACTATTAATAATGTTATTTTAAGGGAAAGTATAGTTTTTGGAGTCACAAGAATCCGATTTGAATCTCCTTTTTATTGTTAGTTAAGAATTATATAATCTTGGATAAGTCATGTAATGTTTCTTAGACTTTCCAATCATGAATAGAATAGTAACAACTACCGTATGTTATTGTGAGAGTTAAGTGGTCTGCATGTCTGATACATTTGGTGTAGTCCTGTTACATAATGTTGGCTATCAAATGCACTCTTTTCATTTGTATTCTTAATTTTAGATTTCTTTCTTTTCTAGTCAGGTCTTGAAAAGAGGATAGACCAGGCTGTGGAGGAATGGGATGTTGAGAAGGCTGAAGAACTCAGCAACCAGCTTGCTACTCGAGAGGTGAGTCAGACTGATTACAAATTGCACTTCAGTGTTTTCTAAAATGAATCTACATTCTTTTTGCAATTTTTAATAAGCTCAGTATTAACTGAAACTTATGCTGGAAATAATCCATAAATTGATATCTAAACCTACATTTACTTACTTAGAGAGTTTTTCCCCAGGTATGATTAAAAGACTAGCTTTCTTTTTCCACTTGTGTCTTTAAGTTTAAACTCTTCCTGAGGGCATCCATACTTCTAAAGTCACACCCCTCAACCTTTTCTTAAACCTTGCTCTATAGCCTTTTTACTGCTTACTCTGCACAGCCCCCTTAGCCCTATAGAAATGTCTACTTTTTCCCCCTGTAGTCTATAGTATAAAAGAACAAGTACTTTGAATATTCTTTTTCCAACTACAGAAGGCAACAAGAAAATTCTGACTCCTACTCCCTGGAGATAAGGGGATTCCTCCCACTGAAAATTAACTTCATATATAGACTAAAGAGCTCATGGAGGCATGCATTTTGTTTGTTTTTTTCTTTCTAGAAAAGAAATCTCTACCCTAGTTTTTATTTTTAGTGCCTGGAACCTTACTCATTCTTAGCCTAACTGCTCCTGTGCTTAGGCATTATTGGGCATTATTGGGCCATCTGTGTGAACTGCTGGCCAGGTTCAGATTCTAGCTCACTTGCAGGTGATATTTGCTTCTAAACTGAGACTCTAGGGATAAACTTACTATTTCGGTGTACTGTTCTTTGGAAATACTATTGTACTCTTCATCAGAAGACAAAAAAATCTGCCATTAATAGTCATTATGATTTTTGTGTTTTCTCCTCATAATTTTGGCTGAATCTTGTGAATTTTATATTTTCATGTAGGTAAAACAGTTCAGGGGCTGGGGATGTGGCTCAAGTGGTAGCACACTTGCCTGGCATGCGTGCGGCCCGGGTTCGATCCTCATGCACCACATACAAACAAAGATGTTGTGTCCGCCAATACTTGAAAAATAAATATTAAAAAATTAAAAAAAAAAAAAAGTTCAAAAGAGAGCCTTAGAGATTCCAAAAATATGTTTTTCTTTAATCCCTTTAAAATGATTTGTTACTTAAATACTTCCATTGTGTAGTTTGTGTGCATATATGTATGTGTTAATGTCTGATATCATGGAAATTATAAAGCTGTGGACTTCATTTAGGGACACTGACAAGAAGTAGCATAAATCATAGGTACGTGGCTTTTCAAAAACTAAGCTGACATTTTAAAAAGTATTTTTATTGCAGCAAAACATACATAAATTTACCTTGGCATTAAATACATCTACTCTGTTGTGCAGCCCATCACCATTGTCCATCTCCAGAGCTCTCTTCATCTTGCAGAACTGAAACTCTGAACCCATTAAACAGTGGCTCCCTGTTCTCCCCTTCATACAGCCCTGGACACCCCTCTCTCTCTCTGAATGGGACTCTCACTCATAGGTACCTCTTACAAGTGGAATCATGCTTGTCCTTGTGATGTAACATCTTCAGAATCTATCCATATCCCAGTATTTGTCAGAATTTCCTTCCTTTTTCAGACTTATCAATACTCTGCAGGTATTTGTTAGATTCTGGGTGTTATGTTTTGTTTGTGCATTCAGCTGAATGATGTTGCTGTGAACATAAGTGTACTAATATCTGTTTGAATACTGTTCTTCTTCAGTATGGGTAAGATAGGGAACCTCGTCCCTACCTGGAAAACTGTGCCTAAGATATCCTTTTAAAAATTCCACTCAACAAACATAGCATCTTTTATTTGTTAGCAAGTAAACTATTTGGCACTTGGAACTTATATTTCCATAGAAGTGCTGTTAGAAACAGTGGCTTAGTTTCTTGGTCAGCTTGAGAGTGTAGATAACTCATGAGATAGCCAGGTTACACCAGTGATATATCTGATCTCCAAATTTTGTAGTGCTGACCATGAAATCATTAGGGAATGGTGGGGAGGGGCAATGCTTGTGTGGCTGGAAGAGACTCCAGTGGGTAGATATTGTTCGTGGCTCTGACAATGGGCAGTATAGTAAGGCATCCTGTTGGGATAGGGAGGAGTGGCTCAAGATCTGAGGGGGCTTTCAGGGACTGGAAAGCACAGACAGAATATTCAGTCACTTAACTATTTCACAGTTAAGTAGGGATTTATGGAAGCTGGTGGCAGTGTCCTTTGAATCAGGAACAAAACCCATCAGAGAATCAGAGAACTGGTACTTAAATACATCACCGATGATGACATGTTTCATGTTGGGCTATATGTTGAGCAAATTTCTCTTGAATCCCTTTAAAAATTCCAGAAATGTGTTACTGGTTGCTCTCTGATGCTGGTTGGTCTTTGAGTCAGCTAGATAGTTCCAATAAAGCATAATACAGGCATGTGGAAAAAAACAAGCAGGGCTATAGAGTATGGCTGCACTACTGCAGCTGTGAGTATTGTGGGTTTCTGTCTCTTCTCTGGTCTGTTCAAGAGTATAGGACTCAGCCAACTGGTCTCCCATCCTCATTCTTTGTCCAGCCTTCCTTTTCTAAGACCCAAGAGTTGCATATTATCTAATCTCTTCCAAATACCATGGCAACTGTGACAGCAGAGTGCCCAGGCCAGTCAGTGGCCTTAGATTTTGGCCTTGGTAAAGGAAGAAAGGAAAAGGATAAAGTCAAGCCTACGCTACAGCATTAAAATAGGAGCTCCATGTGACCCACTGATGGCTGTCCATTCCTTGTGGTCTCTTTCTGTTTAACAGTGGCACCCCCACTGTAGGTTGGGTTCCTTTTAGTAGAGTTAGTAATGCTAAAACTTTGAGTTGAACATGTTTTACTTAATTTTTCTTTAGAGAGAGAGAAGAGAGAATTTTTTAATATTTATTTTTCAGTTTTCTGTGGACACAACATCTTTATTTATTTTTTTTTAATGTGGTGCTGAGGATCGAACCCAGCACCCCACGCATGCCAGGCGAGCGCGTTACCGCTTGAGCCACATCCCCAGCCCTTACTTAATTTTTTTAAAAAAATTATTCAGACTTTGAGAAGGTTGGAAATTTGTATGTTTTTCTCTCTTTTCTGCATACTTTAAACTTACCAGGTGTCTTACTAATTTCCTAAATAACAAAATAACAATTTTGGTTTCCTTCATTTTGTTGGATTTTCTTTGTCTTTAATCTGGAGCAATTCCTCACTCTGTTTCTTAGAGCCTTGGTAATTTTGAAGAATGGAGGCCACTTGTCCAATGGCATGCCCCTCAACTTTGGTCTGCCTGATGCTTCCTCAGGTTAATTTCAGGTTGTGTGTTTTGGGCAGAAAAATCAAGCAGTTGGCCATGTGTCCTTCTCAATGTGAGCTACTCAGAGGCACCTGCTATCTCTTTGTCCCATTTATTGATGGTGTTAATTTGATTATTTGATTGGGGTGGTGAATCTGTTTTGTAATGAGTGTCTGTGGAGAGACGGGAGGTAGTCTGAGACTTTAGCCATCTTCTTTCTCATACTTGTACCTTCTAGTTTTAACATGCATTGCTGATTCCTTTCTTGCTTGATGATGATTACCAAATGACTTTAGATCTTTTAGATTTGATTTGCCTTTACTTGGCAAACCAAATCTAAAATTTGGCTGAAGTGAGATATTTAATTATAAAATCTTTTCTGTGTCCATATTAAATCAGTAAATGTGGACAGTTTCCTACATATGATGTTCTGGGTTGGGAAGGGGTTGCCCATTGACACTGTGCGCACCTGGATTGCATTACTGACCTCCCCCACCTGCTGTACTCATCCAGGTGAACTGGCCTTGCTGAGTACAGTGTAAAGCTGCCTGGAAAAATACCTGGAAGCAGTACTGAAGGCTTCAGGAAGGAGTGTTTATTTGAGGATTTTTGGTATTTTGTTATCCTGTTTTAGAAATGGAACTTTTATTAATAATATCAACAAGGTGCTTTTCATCTAAAGGGCTGTTACTTCCTGGTGCACTTTAATATAAATGAGGTTTTTTTAAAAAAAATACATATTTTCAGCACTTGTAAAATGGGAAACATTATTCTTTTTACTTCCATACAAATGTAATGCTTTGTTGTGTCAAATTAAAGTTATTTAGTGTAGTGTTAAATAATTCTGATTAAAAGAGAAAACAATAATTTGGGCCCTCTACTTTCTCCTGGATAAGTGGAAAGACATCAAGACATCTGAAAAATGGCATTCAGACCTAGGTACTAGAAAGATACTGAGGGCACATTAATTAAGCACCCATGAAGAATAACTGATGAAGATGGAATTCCTGAATGAATAGTTTAGTTTGAGCTTTAAATTTTCTTATTCATCTTGGTGGTGCTATCACTGTGGATACGGGAGATGGGATTTTGAGAAGTAAGTGTAAATTTAGGATAGAAACTCTTTATGAATCTAAGTGTCCGCATGCCTGGTAGGTGTCCTTTTGGAAATCAGGTATGTTGGTTTTTAATCAGTACCATTTTCTTTTTTCAAGAAGCGGCGACTGGGACCTGCTGATAAAGCCTTTGCTCAGAGGCACAGATCCCAGAGTTCTTAAAGCCTTTTCCAGCCATAATAAGGGAAGCTAATTTTTGATGTTTAACATTTATAAGCCTGTGAAACTAATAGGGCAGCATTAGTTTTGAGAAAAATGAAGCCAAAAGTAGAGAATACTCCTTGAAAACAGTTCTTAAAAAACAAAATGAAACAAAGAAAAAAAAAAAAAAAAAAACTGTGTCAGAATAAGCCTGTCAGTGTGCTATCATTGTGTCACAGCAAGCACATAATTTTCCAGAAACACATTCCCTTAAATTAATGATGACATTAAGGATGATACAGAGTCTAGTTTGGGGAAATGGCCTGAGTTCATGTGTTTGAAGCCTGGCTTGTCTGTCATCCTTGGTTTGTCGTGTCTTAATGGGCTGCTTTGAGACTGTCCCTCCTGTTGGTTGAATACTTTGTTGCTGTTAACAGTCTTGTAGGAAAAATGAAGTGGAGACATACACTTAATGTTGTGT